AATTAATAAAAAAAAAGTTTTCATAAATCTTTCTCATGTAAGTGTTGTCACCTTTTTTTTTTATTTTTCAAAACGAGTCGCGTTTTTTTTCTCATCTGCAAAGGTTGCTTGTACGCTATTTCGTTGGTTGCTGCGGAACAAACATTCCAAGTTCCCACACCTATAATATACGCACAATATATCACACACAACATAATACTGTAAATACACAACCACAGTCACCCCCCTTTCCTTCGCTTATTGGTTCCTTCAATACCCTGGTGTATTAATTGATTTTTTTAAGAAAACGCGCCTCACTTTTTGTATTGTTTATGCATATCATATTTATATTTAAAGGTAACATTTTTGTTCTTCTCGCTTAGATTTTAACTTAATAACATGGCCACCGCTATTTCTACAATGGGTAACTCGGTTGGATTGGAAGAAACTACTGAAGTGGTCGAATATACTGAAGTTGTCGAAGAAGTTGTTCACTTGGAACACTCTGAACTCTTGGATACCGTTGAAGAAATCGATGAAACTGAAGTTTCAAAAGAGGAAACCCAACTACAGCAACAAAATGTTGAACCTTCCGATTGTCCCTCACAAGCTGAGCAAGTGGAAAAAATTAGTTTACATCATGAAGTAACTAAACATTCTGAAACCACTGGAAAAGGTGAAACCTCAGTTGAAAATATTAGAATTATTGTAGATACCGAGCGAACTCAACCTTCCGAGGTCGATAAAGAAACCGAAAAAACTGATTCCGAACAAACTGATAAAGTTATAGAATCTCAATCTCAACCGCAATCAATGTGTGGTCTTCCAGACGATTTTGAATCAGAGAATCAACGTGAGTCCGAAACTCAGCACGAAAATGTTTCGGTTTCCGGTGAATCCAATGCTACGGAAACAAAATCTGATCCTGCCGATCCTCTGACTCCTCCGAAAAGTCCAACCGATGAAAAGGAAAAAGAAAAGTCGGAAAAAAAGATTGCTACTAAAGTTACCACCAGTAAAATCGCAAAAACTGCTTCTAGTTCTAAACCTGGGGCGGTTAAAAAACAAACTGCAACTAACACAACTACCACAACTACCGCTAAACCGACACGTGCCCGTAGTTCTTCCATCAGTAAATCCAATCCTCCTCCGCCATTAACCAAGACACCAGGAACGCGCTCCTCTAGCACTTCTAGTAATTCGAGAACTCCATTGACCCCTAAAATTCCCAGCAGTCCTACCACGGCCAAAGCGTCAACATCATCTAAAGCTACTACAGGTTTGACCGCAAAGAGTCACGCTTCGAAGACTACAACCGTCAAAACCAATGCGATAAAACCTACTGCGCCAGGTCTTGCACGTAAACCATCGCTTAATACGACTACTACTAGTGTTGGAGCAAGTTCGACAAAAAAGATAACCGTTTCAACAACTTCTAAAACCACAAAAGCAAAAGCTACCCCCCCTGCCACTACTACAACAGCAAAAACGATTACTTCGAAGGCTAACGGTGTTTCTGCAAAGACTAATGGTGTTGGTGCCGTAGCTAAGGTTGCTTCCTCGATTGATGTTAGTCTTAAAGAGAAGGTTTGTTTGACATCTGTCATAACTGCATTCTTTAATATTTTATTAATTATAAATAATCTGCGGCAGTGATCGTTGTTTAACATTTTTTTATTTTATTTCTTACTATTACTTTTTAATAGACCGAAGAACTTACCCGACTTCTTGAAGAAAAAGATAACATCATAAAGTCAAGGCAAGAGGAATTAGATGCTTTAAAAGCTAAAATAGAAAAGGGAAATGATAGTACTAGTGAATCTGTTGAACAACAAGGTCATCATTTGGAAGAGTTAAAAAAGGCTCATGAGGAAGAAACTCAAAAGGTAATGGAAAAAGATGTAGCAATTCTTGCCAAAGAAGCCGAAATTTCTAAACTTCGTGAAGAGATTGCAACTTTAAAAGAGACTATTGAATCCTTAAACCAAAAAATTGAGGTGAGTATTGGCTTATATTTTCAACTGGTATGATTGATTATTATGGATCGTGTTTATAACATTCGTAAACTTTATTTTGTTTTAAATTAGAAACTCAATAATGATCGAGAAGCAAAATTAACGCAACTTAAAGAGGATCACACTAAATTAATCGAGAGTCTTAAAGGTAGCCATGATTCTGAACTTGCAGATTTAGTTCAAAAGGTTAAAGGCGGTGAAGCTATTGCTAAAGAACTTGAAAACTCAAGATCTGAATTGGAGGTTAGTATTCTTCACGAATATTTTATATGACAAGAGAGTTTACTAAATAGGTTGTTCTCAATCAATAGGATGTCAAAAAGAGCCATTGTGAGCAATTGAAAGATTTAAAAACACAGCATGAACTTGTTCTCGAACAAGTTAAAGAGCAAGCAAAGAATGAATATACGGCAACTTTGGAATTTGCTCAAGGAGGAACTGCAGTTGCTGTTGAAGCATTGAAAATCAAACATTTGGATGAATTGAATAAACTCGAGGAAAAACATGAACAAACGTTACAAAAATGTCAAAATGAGCACGATGAAGCGTTAGAGAAAGTCAAGAACGAAGTTCAGGTATCAAAGTATTCCCTTTTTACGATTGCTATATTTATAACTTTTTCGCTAATGTTTATTCTTTCCCCCCAAAGTCCGATATTAAAAAAAAATTTGAGAACCTTGAGGAAACTCACATGAAAGAGTTGGATTCTATTACAGCTAGGCGTGATGCTACGATCCAAGAAATGGCTTCTCTTAAATCTCAACATTCTCAGGCCATTGAGGATCTTAAGAATAGTCATGTTCAAGAAATTGAGCTAATCAAGTCATCTGCCGATCAAGAACTCGTTAAAAAATATGAAACGGAATTGGCAGCACTCAAAGCCGCCACACATGATCAAAGTGTAATTCAAGATTATGAAGACCAAATTAAGGAACTTAAATCTCAACACGAAGCAGCTTTAAATGCTATTAAAGCATCAGATGAAAGCATTAAAAAACACGAGACTGAAATTGCGCAACTCAAGGCTATCGTGGAAGATTTGGAATCTCGTCATAAAAGTCATCTTGAAGAGAGACAAGTAGCATTCTCTACAGAAGTTGAGGAAATGAAAAATCGTCATGCTCAAGAACTTGATGAATTAAAAAAATCTCATGTTGAAGCTTCTGTAATAGACAAATTGAAAGCAGATCATGATAAAGAATTAGAAACATTAAAAGCTCTCCATGCTGAAGAATTACAAAAAACCAAAAAAGAACTTGAGGAAGAAATTGAAAAAATCGCTTCAAATCGCCTCCAGTGTATTAAAGAGCTTAAAGAATCCCATAGCAAAGACATACAAGAAACGATCAATTCTATTGAGAAAGAAACAAAAGAGAAAGAAGCAGCTTTATTGTCGAAAATGGAAGAACTTCGAAGTGAATCGGAATTGATGATTAAAGAATCCACGAAAAAACTAAAGGAAGCCGAAGCTAAAGTTGAAGCACTAGAGGTTTGTTTGTTTCAAATATAATGATTTTTCCTTGGAGTGTTTATATTAAATTATTCAATTTTTTAGTTATTGAAAATTGAACATCAAAAAGAATTGGAAGGATTACGGTCCGAAACTTCTTGCGAACTTAATGAACTGCGTGATAAAGTTGCATCATACAAAAAACAAATTGAGAGTCAAGAAACCGAAATGAAAATGTTCAATGAGGTTTGAATTATTTTTTTTTTATAATTTGCTGATGCACGTTATCAAGTTAACTTAATACGATAATAATAAAATACAAAAATTAGAAAAACGAACTTGAAATGGACAATATGAAGAAAGAATACGAACAAAGCCTTGCTAAACATGAAGAAGAATTGGAACAATTTCAAATCCTTCTTGAAAAAAAGGAAAAAGAGGTTGATGAATACAAATCGAAATTTTCAGTAAGATTTTTTATTTGATATATTATGATTGAATGACTTAGAATTTTGATTAATGACTTTTTTATGTGTTTATTGTTGAAATTAAAGAACGGAAATGGTGCATCACATAAAGTTCTTGAAGAATTGCATCAAGCCCATAATGCAAAAATAGATGAACTTTCTAAACAGCTGGAAGATAAGGAATCTTTAATAAGTTCACAAACCATGGAAACCCGATGGCTTGAAGCAGACGCTGAAAAGCAAGACGTAAGATTAATTGCTTTAAATAAACTTATATTCTCAAATATTTATTTTTCTAATTCTTATTCCAACTATCAGCAAAAGATTGAGGATCTCAGTAAAGAGGTCGCGAGTCTTGGTAAAGAGAACGATGTATTGAAGGAGGAAAATGATCGGTTGATCAAGTTGATTCATCAATATCAAGAACAATTAATCAATCAGTCTTAATTTTAATTTTATAATATATCATGTGTGTAATTAAGGATATAGAAGAAATACCGAAGAATTATAATGTAATATAAGGAGATATTAAAAGTCTCCTTTTTGTTTTTGTTCCTCCACATTTTATCTGTTTATTTTAATCACAAATTTTATAATTTATATATATACTTCACCTTATCTTACTTGATGTAATATTCCAGCCGTACGTTTGAGTCGTCATATTTAGTCAGTGAAAATTTGTATAATTAAAAAAAAAAACTGAAAAAAAAAAAAAAAAAAAAAAAAAAAATTAAGAAAATTCTCTTTAATCGCCCGTTTGGTCAACTTTTTTTTTTTTTTTTTTTTATCATATATATAATATAAATTAGTATTATGATTTTGGAACGTTAATTCCAAAAAAAAGAAAAAAAATGTATTTAAATATTTAATAGTTTTTCTTTATTTTATCATTTGTATTGAAGATTAAAGAAACTTAATACATTCAAATTGAATAAAGGATTTCGTTTATTAACCAAAAACTTATTAGTATCTACACCTGATTCGTTTAATTGCCCGGTCGATGTCGCCGACCTCAGCTCAGGTATCACCGACAACTAATTAACCATGGTTAAATTATCGTGATTAATTCTCTAATTTAAACCCATGAAATCATCTTCCGAGAGCAGAATGAAGAGCGTCAACTTGATGTTTAATACTTTTACTAAGAAATCAATTTATTAATAAAGAGAGAATAAAAGAGAATTCTTATATAAAAAAGGTAATACTTACATTTGACTTGCCAAGGTTTGTACATGAGAAAATTCTTTATCAATTCTTACACACAGTTCAATTAATTCATTGGATTTTTTCGTTGCATCATTAATAACCATACAATGATTTTCAACGGTTTGTCTGTAAACTTCAAAGGAAGCTGTAGTTAAAACCGACGCCTAAAATTTTATTTAAAATTTACTTTCAATTATATATTATTTTAAAAAATGTAAGAATAAAAAAACTTTTACCTCAAACATTTGAGATTGTAAGTTACGTAGCATGGTTTCTAATTCATTAGAAATGCCTTGAGCTTGTTTTTCTAATTCAATAATCAGATTTTGATTTAATGGTGGATCGGATTTCATTCCTATGTAAAATGAATTTAAACTATCATCATCTAGTTCTAGCGAATTAGTTGTCAAGATTGATTCGGCTTTATGAGAGGAAAGATTTTCCATCTTTTAATATCAAAGGAAAAAAAAAAAAATTTGTTTTTACTAAATAATTGTCAATTTATACAGATGTCGATCGCAAAATTTTTTACTTTATAATAGAATTAAAATATTAACCAGAAAATAAATTAAAGCTTATTAAACAAATATTTAAATGAAAATTAATTATTAATAAATATTAATATAACAATAAGAAAAATAATCTAGAGATTTAAAAACCTTTATTTGCTTCAAAAAAAAATAAAGCATGAATTAATGTTAAATCTAAATTAGTATTTTAGAGATCAAATTTCATTACAATTGTAATTAATGTGATCAGTTTTATAATGTTCCATTTATTATCTTAAATAATATATAAAATTACTTTTATATAAAAATCATAATAAAATGAAGTTATTTTACATTAGATTTACTGAAACACAAGAAATATAGTATTATCAAAAGTATTTTGAAAAAAGAGCAAGATGAAAAATTACTTATATTTTCAAATAAATAATATTTAGACATTAGAAGCGTATCTAAGAAAAAAAAAGATTACTTATAAAATTTATCAAAAAGAAAAAATATTAAAAAAATAAAATAAAAGTATGTTATTATCTAATAAAAACAGAATTTTAGAAGAAAAATAATATAATATTGATTTATTTTTTCCTTTTAATTTTTTGAAACATAAATCATAATATTATAAAATCTATAAAATTATACCTGTTATTAGATTCATCATCATAATTTTTTCTATTTTTTGAAATATTATTTTAGCAACTTTAGTAAATCTTCATTTTTAAATCAGAAAGAGTAATTTTAACATAAAAGATATTAGATTCAGTAAAATCTAAAAAACTTCTAATAAAAGTTATCATCAAAATTTGAAAAATCATATAATTAATATAATTACAAATCATATGATTTTATTAATTATGCAAACTAAAATAATAGTAAATATAAAAAAATTAAAAAATTAAAATATTCAAATTATAAATTACAATAAATATATTATAATTTTATTATAAAAAATAAATTAGTTATAATATTTATAATATTTAAAACTTCTTTAGTTAAAATATGATTAACTAATTTTTTTCCTGTTTCATATGTATTATTCAAAGATTATTATAAATATTCAAATAAAGATTAACTGAAAAATAAGATAAGTAATCTAAAAACCTAACATCTTTTTTACTTAAGCATATTATTTACTTCGTTTTTTATACATTGAGATAATTTTAAGTAATAAAAAATTTTTTATTAGAATAAATAATTAAGTATTCATTTAAGATTAAAGAATAGATATTAGATACATTTGCATCAATAATATTATATATAAATAAATAAATATATATATATATATATATTAGATAAAATATAATTGAAAATATACTAATTTATATTATTAATAAATATTTACTATTAATTATAAAAACTATTAAATAATAGCATTTTTTCTAATAATCTTTTTATTTATTGATATAATTTTTTTTAAATAGAATTATTTATAAGCTTAGTAATTAACTGATTAGTATTATTAATATTAAATGAAAAATTTATATTAATTTGATTATTAAAAATTCTTTTTGAATGTTATTGAAAAACATCATAAAAATCCTTTAAATGTTAAAAATAAATTAAATTCTCAAATGTTTTTAAAATATTGGTTTTTGATTAAGAATATATTACAAAATAGAAAATTCATTAAAAAATTTTGATTTCATCATTTTCATTAATAGTATTATTTGATTTATCTAATAAGTTATAAAATTTCAAATGCAACAATTCTAATATTTTTAGATTCTATTTCTTGTTCTAATATAATATAAAATTAAAGAAATTATTTAATAAAATTTAAATGATTAATAAATTAATTTTATATCAGATAGATCCTGATCTTGATCATTTTCTTCTTATACATAATTTCGACTAACGATAATTTAGTAGACTATAGTAGTTGTATTTTGGGCTTTTTGGCACAAAAAGCCCAAATGTGTCCAGAAGGTTTTCCTGGGTATCAAAAAATTATTCTCATAGCGTATTCCCTTTGTTTTCATACTTGTGACCTTAAGGAAT